ATAAACTGATGATAATAATTACAAAGAAGGTAAATTAATTAAAGTATAACATTCCATTTCTGACAGAAAGTATTAAAATCTGTCAGTTTTTTAATTATCTTTTAAAGTGTGTTTTAAAACTTTAAAATATGAATTAGATAAATTTAAAAGACATTGGATAGATGGACAGGTATTCTGACAACGAACTTTATAAATATAATGCTTCATTAATATCAACATAGTGTTGAAAATAATTTGATATTTCAGCAATCTCAATATCGTTTGACAAAAAAATCTGCTTACTACAGGGCTGTGCTACTCGTGAACCATTAGCTATCTATTTTTCCCATGATAAATTTCTTCCTTATAAATCCAGAACAGGTATCAAGTCCCAGCCTGTATGAGTTACACGTATCAAAATAACCCGATTTTTTAAACTGACAAAACTAAAGGTCGCTAATCGGAGATAAATTTCACAATTTTGCTTTGAGCTACAATCAGTTATAAGTAAGCATATCATTGTAGAAAAAGTGAACAAACCTACATGAATATTCCCTACACCTAGAAATTTTCTTAATTGAATTTCAGTTAGAAATCAAAGTACTCAGAAGTACAGAGAGCCGGGCTCATTTACAGAGTAGAATGGATTTCTTACATGAATCACGTTTATATTCTGATGAAAAAATTATTTTAAAACTATCAATATAAATGATAAGACACTGACAGTGAGTTTTTCAATCCTAATACCACGGTCCGATTTTGTCAGAATCAGAATTAATCTGGTACCGCAGCTGAATGTAAACAAACAGGCCAGTCTGGTTCCCTCTCCTGCTTTACCTCGTATGTGTAGAGAACTACGGTAACACTTATCAAAAATCCTTACGCTAATGAACTATGTTCTTTGACTTATGAAGTTTTCAAAGTCATTACTATAAATGTTTATTTTATATACATAAAACTTCGTTTTACTTTTGTTGCTTTATTTAGCGTTTGTATTATCTCAAAAGCGGTTGAGAGTAAGAACTATATTTTTGCACGTAACTTTAAAATGGCGACTATTGGGTTAACATCCTGCCTTGAACAGGATCACATAAGCCGGCAATTGCTCTTTGAGCAATAAGCCCGGCTAAAAAACATGCATATGGTCCACGTATTGCAGTCCTTTTTTAAAGGACAGCAACTTGTTAGCTATAGTTTTTCAGTATATGCCGTCATGTCTTCTCTTGCATTTTTCTTAATTTCCTTGTCTATAGTCCGATATTCTGCTTGGAACTGATCTTTTTGTCTCTTTGATTTAGTGGACAAGATTTTCTTTTTATTTTCTTTGGGTTGCTCTACTATTTTCCATGTACACTCCGAGATCCATTCCTCCTTTTCCCTTTCTTGGGCCAAGTATTTGCTGTGCATTATCTGACAGAACCTCATTAAATGTTTCCATATCAATGTCATATGAGTGTTCCATAAGAGCCGCAAACTTGTTCTGGACTTTTGCTTGCAAAGATCTCATCATTTTCGCGTCTTTCATTTAAGCTTTTGGATATTAATAGGAGGCAGTCTTTGATCTTTAAATTTTCCGTGATTCCTCAGCTTTAACTTGACTTTAACCAATACTAATGACTTTAACTAGCCAATACTAATGAGTGGTCACTTCCCACATCTCGCTCCTTGTTTTGCAACCACATCCAGGAGGCTACTTCTCCATCTTTAGTAAATGATGACATGGTCAATTTGAATTTTCGTATTACCATCTGGAGAGTTCCATGTTGCCTTATGGATATCGTTGTGCATAAAATAATATAGTCCCACCAATTATTAAGTTGTTTTCTTTCCAGAAAGTGCACAGCCTCTCTCCATTGCTGTTACATTCTCCTAAGCCTTGCATTTTGCTTACCCATGATGCTTTATTATATAGACTTCTATAAACTTTTTTTGTTATGATTATTTCTACTCCTCTACTGTATGATGTTTCAGTTTTTCCAAAGTAGAGTATTTGATATCCTGACACTGACACCTGACACAGTTGTTTTTTACCCCGTGCCTGTCCATTTCGTTTCACTTACTCCAAGAAGCTCAATCTTGTAATGCTCCATTTTTCTCACCACTTGTGCTATTTTTCCTGTTTGGTAGAGAGTCCACACGTTCCAGTAGCCCACTCTACGTGTTATTTTTGGTCAAAGGACATCTATCAGGATGGGAAATTCACTGTTATAACTATCAGTACTAATATCCTGAGTGGTATCAATCCTTCTTCCATCACTTTGTTCTCAGCTGGTAAAGGTTTCTGTAGCTGCATTGTTTGGCATGTTAGGGCTGCTGGCCCTAAGCAAAACCCTCTGAATTCGGAGGGTCAGTGGTTTTCTTTCAGGGTTGTCCTTCCCTTGTGTCTGATTGCGTTACCTTGCTTTCGTGCTCAGCTACACGGATTTTCTGTCTTGATTATCATCCATAGCCTTCGACTTTTCCATGCCTTCCCAAAATCCGGTGATGCTATATATTAGACCCATAGATCAGGATTGCAGGCATCAGGGCATATCCACACACCAGTGGGCCATGCATGCCGTGCATTTAGGAGCCTAGTCTCCTCCAAGACCTTGTGGTTCTGCTTGGGGGCCGTAAGTTACCCAATGTTCATCTGCTACCTCGAGGATGATCCCATATCTGGGCCACATAGGTCTAACTGCGGAGAGGCTATACCTGGCAGAGAAGACTTACATATTTTTGCTAACTCTTTTGCAGGGAACTGCTAGCCAGAGATGGAGCTAAAAGCACAGACACAGACAGTCATACACACTGTATGCATCAAACAGCCATTAAGCATGCAGACTCGATATAATGACGTTTACCTCTATATATTTACAAAATGTTTGGAATTTGGACCATTCGGTCGAATGTCTGGTACGTTCTGACCATAGACCTAATTCCGTTCATTTGTATTATATAATCTATAAACTGCATGAGAGAAGCTGCTCTCTTTTGTCATTAGTTTATATAATTATTAACCCTTGATGATTAATCACTGTAAATAATGCATTTGAAAAGTTTAAAATGGAATACGAGCATATGGTGAATGATTTTTTTTTTTTATTGACATTACAAACTTATACTTTCTTAGTTTTAATTATCACGAAGATTTGTAAATAATAAATAAAATTGAGACAAAGGTAACTATTACATTTTCTTTAAAGACCAAAACAGGCCACTGTAGGAGGTAAAAATATATGGGGTAAAATTAAAAACAGTATCGAAGTACTCTCGTTTTGATAAGAGTCTGCATGGTGGTATAGTGAAAATTGGGGTCAAGTATATATAACTATAACTCTATGAGATGTTACCGAGTAATAGACTAATTATTTCATACATCCTAATCATCCTATCTCTCTTGCTTTTGGGCAACAAAACTATCAGTTTTAATTTTGTTCTTTTACGTACTGTTCTCTAAATTGTTGTATTATACTCAGGTGACCGTTAAGGCCCTTGTGCCTCTTCTCATCGAAAAGCTGGTTATGGTCGATGTCAAAATGCCTGAACTTCATTCGATATAAATGAAGATTACTCGCATGGATTTAATTTAGCATGGGGACTGGTTGTATAAAGTGTAGAAAATTGTTGATTCATTTATTTTTGTAAAATGTATCATTGTGCAGTACTTTTCTTCATTGCTGCATGTTAATACTTAAAAGAGGAGTAAAATAAAAGGTTAATTTTCATGGCCTCGGTGCATACATTAACCTGCTATAAATACATGTATAAATCTATGTTTCTCTCAGCCCCGTAGGAAGCAATTTCAGTTGGGGGGGGGGGGCACAACCATATATCTTTAGTTGATGGGGACACAGTCACCCAAAAATTCCTTGACTAGCAAATTAAAAAAAAGGTTATCAGACGTTTTATTGAGGGGGTACAAGCATATACATGTAGTAGCTATGATTTCTATTATAATTTCTATAGTAATCTATATATTGCCCCCCGTACCCCCACCCCCCACCCGGGCCTCCCGATTCCTACTGCCATGTCTCTGTTTGTAAGGAAGCATGAGCCCTGTATACATGTATTATAAGATGAGGGGGTTCGGATAATCCGCATTTTTTAGATAATTTATATACCATGCATGTTCATGTCTTATATGAGCTAGGTTAAAGGAACATTGGTATTTATTAATTAATTAAGTTATTTCACTATATAAATTTTACTGAATATAACTCCTACAAATTCCTTTGAACTCTCCCCGGGTCATTCAGTCTTCTATATACTGGTCTGCACGACACAGTTTACGAAAAAAGAAAATAAAAGTGCGATTTCTTGGAGTATTATACATAGTATATCAAATCTATGGGTTAAGCTACTTGCAATTACAATTAGGCCTAATAGCAGTAAAAACGGTAGAAATTTTATGTTTCGTACAGGTCTGATGCAATTAATTAAAGTTCTATATACATTGTAATGCATATTATGTTAATCAATGAATTTTTACTACCGAAAAGATTGATTGAAAGCTTGTTGCATCCCACATATTTTGATGTAGAATAGTTAAATAATGGAAATTTGTTAACATATCTGAAAAAAATTAAATAACGTTCTGAAAGAAAGTTGGACCCCCCACCCCCACCCCCGCCCGAAAATTCGAGTTTGAAGACTATTTTCCATTTTCTCTAGTATGACTTTTAAAAAAAAATGCCAGGTAAGTTGGCAATTTTTTATTATTAAAAACGAAATGTTCTCCTTTGTATGTTTCCCTGAACACCTGTTTCACATTTATTAAAAAAAAGTACTAGATCCGCCACTGAATGGTCTGACCTGCGGATTAACGCCTATCGCGTAAGCAATATATATCCGTTGGTTCACAGGTACACAATTTCAATCAAGAAATTACTCTCATATATGAGTATTCGTAAAAATGCTTTGAACTGTAGTGAAATTTTGACCAGTTGACATTTTCTTGTGCGTAAAAACAACCACTCAACTTGCGCACTCGAAATACAAGGCCACCGCCATTTTGAATAACTACGCCGAAGCATTGCTTCAATAGCGTCACCCCTCTAGTGATCATTGGTATTTAGGCATGATCATTATGTTTTTTGTTACGAATATTTCTAAGATTTTATGCACGTATGGTCAACTATGAATCTTGGAGGCTGAATCGCGGTTTACTTTATCGAGAGCAATACACCTTCTGTTCGATACGGCATATAGTAGGACTTATATCGGGCTGTGAGATCGATTGTATTGTGTTGAAAGACGTGTGTGTCGGGTCGGTGCAGCCGACTCTGTCGGTGGATTCCCCGAATATTGAGGATTTTCCCTGCGTTTGACCACCTTTCTAGGGTATTGCTGAGTGCGCGGTGGTGGCGGAGTTATTGTTTATGTTTATATTCAGCGCGTTGTGCATAAAACATCGATATTTATCAATGATTTGACGAAAAATGGCTAAAATATTAAACAAAGACCCGTTCACTTATCAACAAGAGAAAGATGAATTCATGTCAACTCTCAAGCAATTTCATCGCAATAGAGGGTGAGTTTCCATGTTGTGATTGTTTTTCAATCGCGTTTCAGTATGTAAACAATATCATAGACATGTTTTGAATATATTTTATTATATTTGTAGAACTCCCATTGGAAAAAATCCAGTTATAGGTGGAAAGGAGGTCGACATGTATTTGTTGTATCGACAAGTGATCAAGTTTGGTGGTTGGCGAAAGGTAAATTTCGCGTTTGAATTTACCTCCGTCTAGTCATTAGTATATCAATTGCAGCCACGCGCGTCTGTAGTTAGTGTATTAGTAGATATTATTATCTAAATATAGCTGATTGAAGAATCACATCGAGTTGAGTTTGTGAGGCAAAGCAAAATGGCTACCACTAACCAAGATGAAGGGGAGGGGCTATTATTTTGCCGACATGTCAATTTTGGTAGCATGAAATATTTATTATTTTTTATATTCATTATTTTTAATATGGTTATTAAAGTTTTTCTTAAGTTAAAAGAAGGCATGAAATAATTCAGATGTCTCTTTGTTGTATTCTGTACATTTATCAATAACACTTAAAAAAAGGTTCAAGTCAATGAAGGATGCTACCAATTAGGGATATTGAAGGCAATGGACAAATAGCCTATATATGTTTGACTTCTTTTTCTAGTTGATTATAAGTAAAAAATATCTTCTTTCATAATATTTTATTAAATTTCAATAAGTATAGCTATTCTTTTTGCATCAAAACATGATAGTGTATGTGCCAGAGCCATTCACAAATAAATAAAAAAACTTAAATGTCAAACATAAATATTGCATCTTTAAGATTTTCTAATGTCTGAACATTGGAAAATGCAGGGTTTTTTGTGTGACAGTCACACAGAACTGTCACAGTTTCAACATTGTTTGGGTCTGGTCACTTCATTGAATTTTATTGGGTTTTGTTTGAGTTTTTCGGTTTTATTCTTTGCATCTGTTTTGAACTATAATTTCTTGAATTAAATCAATAAATGTGAAAAAAAAATCTCACATGACAACAGTGACAACATGACCTCTCTTGCTTGTTTCACATTGTTTCACAAGCATTTTGTTGCTGCTATAATATCAGTTGTGATGTTTATTTATGTATTGTCATTAAGATCCCCATTCTTTTGATTGATTTTGATGTCATATTTTGTACAAACCTGACCCAGACTGAATCTGGGAAAAATGTAACTGAACTGAACAACTTGGACCATGGTATTCAGTTATTTGGTAAATTGAGACAGTCCTGCCCAACAGAAATGAAAATGTGCTAGTTAGATAAACTTTCATCGCGCTTTGGTCTCCAGATTTAATCTGTTTTGCACATGAATCAGTTCTCATGATTTAGTGTAATAACAACATGATGAACATTCTTCAGTGTTTTGTAAGGTTTGTGTGTAGTTAAAACATACGATGTATGAGGAATGCATTGTTTTTGTCTAAAGAGATAAGTTACTATTCATGGTACTGTCTCATATACTAGACTTGATTATTGCACCAATACTTTGCCAATTTTTGCTGCTTTGGTTATCAATTTTGATGTTGATTTTGAAGTTTAATCTTTGTTTTACAATTTTTGCTGCTTTGGTTATCAATTTTGATGTTGATTTTGAAGTTTAATCTTTGTTTTACTTCATTCATCAACATTCAAACACAGTGTGTACCTCTCTGTCTGCATGTGCAATTGAAGTGGTTGGATCTAAAACAACCAGATATACATGAGGGAGAAATCAGATATTGCTGAAATTTCCAAGTAATTAATATAACGACATTTACACAACTTAAAATATCAAATATAGAGATCCAGTTCTGTGAACAATGGAAGATGTTCAAGGGAAAAAGCCATGATTACTGTGCAGCTGGACAGAAGTCATGTCAGGCTTTGAACCAAGGTCATTCAATAAAGAAATATACCACATTGATGTAAAAGTCCTTATTTAGTCCAAAAGTTTTTAATGCATGGAATTAACAGGTAGTAAAAAATGCAGCCAAATGTTAAACAGAGTCCAAAATATGTGGCATCTGTGGATGTGAAAACACCAACAAGAATTGTTTTCTGGATCAAGATATTTAATGCTAATCTACGGCATGGCAGCAGCACTTCAGTGTAAAGATGTTTAATAGAATATTACATAGGGAACATAAAACAGAGGTGATATTTAGAAAGGGTGAAATTTTTTCCCCTGTGTTTTTGATGTAAAAAATGTCAGGTTTGTCTTGTTAAGAGTACTGCCTGATTACTTTTTCTGTTGGAAGACTAATTAGATCAAAGAAAATATTTACAAACAGAAACTTGTTGAAAATTTTCCACACAGTTTTCCATGAACCAGAGAGATTTATGGTATGGTAACAACATGACAGTAACATTTTGAAAGTTATTTACGATATTTACAGGCCATAGATTTTAGAGCAGTGTGTTTGACTGTTTGTTGCCAACCATATTTAAAATAAAAAGTTTCTTTTTGGGAAAATCTGAAGGAGTTCTATATATTAGGCCTTTAATTGAGTGTACCGGTATATATATATATATATGCTTTTGAGCCATGCATACTTTCAAACTGCTTACACAGTCACTCACAGTGAACTATAAATAGTGCTGGATTTCCCCCTTTAATCAATGCTGTATTGGTTGACTGCATTCATCAGTGTGTAAACAGACTTATCTCTCAGGTAAAGTTTTGTGTGACCTACTTGTTAGTGTAGAAACTCATGTGTTCACTCTGCTGGTAGTATGAGCTGGTTGATTTTACTCTCTGTGTACAGGATAAATCGGAACATCTCTTTCATTGGTGCCTCATCAAGTTAATCACATTACTTTTTGATCATAAAATTGTCCAACATATTCTGCTTTTCTTTACCATTTGTCAAACTTTTTTTTTAGAAAATGGAATCTTTGGAAGTTCAATATTTTTGTGCTGCAGTTTGTTAGAATCATGTAGGGAAATTATTATTGTTGAATAACTCTTTAAAAAAACATGTTGTTTTTGGAATTTACAAAACTTATTAGTAAACATTTTATTTTATCTCTTTTGAAATGAATATTCTGACATGTTAAAAAATTTTTGAGACATACATTGTATAAATTTTCAAGATTTCAGACATTAAAATTTCCTACAATGTAAACATCATGGATAAGGTAAAAATAAAGAAGTGTGCTAATGTCTAGCTAACATTTTAAAAGAAAATTGATAAATAAATAATAAACTAAAGCAGAGAAATAAAGGAACAAAATTATGCTTTCCTATGGATTCTTATCTCCATGGTAGACTTGAAAGATAAAACAGCTTTTTGATCTGGTGCTATAGACCTGTTGTTCTATCCAGACTTGATTATCACTAACATATGAGCCAGCATATTACTGTGTATCAGTTTGTTATCTGTCCATATGCAGAAAACCAGGACCTACTGTTGACATGAAAGGAATTTTGTCCCTTTTATTGTTGAGAAAAAGGCAGGAAATTTAGCTTGTGATTTTGTGTAAAATGGAGGCAGTTATATTGATATTGGATTTATATTCCTTTTCAGCCAGTCTGTCTTTCTTTTATATCCGTCCCTTCAGTGAAATTAAAAAAAAGTAGGAAACCTTAATGAGGTAAATAATGATTCTCTGATAAAAGAACAGGTTTTTCTTCTTTCCTTATGTGAACACTTAGTGACATTATTTCTAAAGAGAATTCATCGACTTGAAATATGAGACTTGTCTCAAGATATAGCTTTATTGTGCTTGGTGATGGTATTTGTTGAAGAGCTAGTGTACAGTTAACTGTCGCTACACGAGAATTTAATTTCTGGTATTTGTCAAGCTTGGAAGGGTTTTTAATGTGTGATGTTAGATTTATGTGGGCTGCACTTAATTATAAATTTTTGGATGATGTACAATACAAAGCCTAAAGTTGATCAAGTATTTATTAGTGTTACTTATGAAACTCCAAATTGGAATAAAACAGATATTATATATGCAACTGCTTGACAAAATTGTTTTAGTCTTTGTTAATGTATAGACCCGTTTCTAGTGTATACCTTTGGCAGGCTTATTAGTTTCATTCAAAACAACATAATTAAGTGTTGAAACTTGACAGTTGCTTTGCTGATGGAATGTTGGTTTACTGTTGGTGCAATTTTCCTTTAAATCCAGAGACTGTTACACAGTAACTGTGAGGTATTTCTCATTTAACCTTCTGTGTGGCTAGACAGTGAATTAATTTACTAGGGTCAACCCTCGGAGTGTGCTATAAATAGATTTACCTTGCTGAATGAGGAAGTGTCCTTACTTGTATTGACAGTGGAAGGTCAGCTCTTGATGGCTATAGGAAGTTGACGGGGAAGTTTCACAATCTCTCCATCTTAATTTAAATGCCAGTTGCTTATTGATTAATTGGAACCATACAAACTATCACAAGAGTCAGAAATTATGTATAATTTTTTTTCTTCTGTAGATTAATGATGAACAGATTTGGGAAAATTTTCTGTCTGACTTCAAGATTCCAGGAGGATGCAGTAATGGAACTCAGGCATTAAAATTCATTTACGTCAGGTAAGAGATTTTTCAAACTTTTTTCTCAGATTCATGGATCACTAACAAATAAAAATAAATTAAGGTATGTTGGCTGCAGGGTCATACTTCTTAGGATCAAATGTTGTGTGTAGGTATTCATTTGAAAAAAAAACCCAAAACTATTTGATTAGAAAGGTTATCATGAAGGTAAACATGAAAGGGCATTTTTTTTTTAATATGCTGTGGAAAAAAGAATCTCCATTTTGCTATGATATATCAGTCTCTACCCTTTACTCAACAATCATTTAATACCTAAATTCTTTTTTCCCTTCCAAAGGAATTTAGAATCTTGTGCTATTTTGCCTCAATGTACACAGGTGTCAGGAGGGAACAGACCTAGATTTATGAAAGCTTGCTGTATTTCCTATGATTTTATTGTTATTGTATTGATTTATTCACCTCCATTATCATCCCTCATGGAAACTCGGTCCCCTGTAAAAATCTCTCGGAGATTCCTTCCTTCCGGCAAACAAGACATTCTCATGTTTCAAACTTCGTCATTTCCATTTCTGGTGATTGATTTTTAAAGTCTGTTTAAAAGAGACAGTAAAAATGTGTTTGATAATTACTGCATTTTTATGTGTTTAGATCAATAGTGTAAGGTGGATATTGCTAGGATGGGTTACTCCATTATTTACAGAATTTGATGTAAACAATGTAGCATTGTTTTATTTGATTTTTTTTCTATCATTTGTGGAATTGGAAAAAAATTATGTCATCTGTATAAAAAAAGAAGCTGAAGTGTTGTAAAATGAAACAGTAGTTAATTTGTTTTGATAAAACTTAAATATTTGATATAAACAGGGTAAAGAATGATTGGCAAAACACATAATTTTGTCGGTAATAAAACATACCTTTGGCACAGATTGCAGAAAATATATAAAAGTTTTGAGTTTGCCATAATTTAATAGTTTTGGCAGTGGTTGCAATGACAACTATGATTTTTAATCTATCACCTATATAAAGTAAAAAAAGAAAAATTGTGTTGGCAAATGCCAATTCTTATATTGAAGAATTTGTGAAATTGCTGTATAAAATCTAACTGTAATATATTTGAAATGATACATGTATTTTTATGGCAGTCAGTAAAATATTGATTAATATAAATGCAGTACTCTTTTAATGTATTATGTATTATAGGTACCTAGATGCGTATGAGAAGGTTTATTTCCACGGAGCTGACCCTAACCAGAGAGATGACGAGGACTCAGAGGGACCTCTCCGTAAGAAGGCTTGTCTCCCGTTGTTTGGGATTCCCCACTCCTACAACTACGACCAACACAAAGTTTCAGGTAGGCACGGTCTGTAGGGGTATACCTCTAATATTGATAATTAGATTAAAGTAAATGTTACCACATTAATTGTTAATTATTGTTGGAGTACATGATGCAAGGGTTGCAACCTAGAGGTTGCTTGAATTAACAAAGTTCAGGTGAGAAAATAGATGCCTATTTATCTACTATTTATGCAGTATTCCATGGCATTGTTTCTGTTATGTATGTAGCTGACATTTTTCATTGATATATGTATAGCCATATTAGTAAACAAATTTACAAATGAGGACAGTCAGGGTTGATTGCTTGTCAGTTACAATGTTGATTGTCATGGATGAGCCGTTGTATCGGTTAAAGTTCAGTGACAGTGTGAGATTCACTGTGAGATTCACTTTTCTGTTTTTCTTTTACCATGTGTTCTAATGGTGACTTTATTTACTGAATTTACCAATGACAAAAAGTGAAAGTTTTTGTTGTGGTCAATTTACTAAGCATCAGTTGGAAGTATATTATGTTGAACGGGGACTGAAAAAGTAAAGTTCATTGTTAAGTGCTTGACATCAAGGATTTAGATGTTGGCACTGGTTTCTTTTAATTTCCACCAGCTTAAAGGACACAATTAATTGATTAGAATAGAGATATAGCAGTAACTTATGAAATATGCATTATGTGGCCTACGGTTAAGGTTGAAATAAAGTTACTGAAGTGCTGAGGTAAAAGTTAGAGTACTACATGTACTATAAGGAAAAAGTACAAAGGTATATATTGATGTATGCATTACCCATTAAAAGTAGACAACATGTCTGTCTTTTATAGCTGTTGAATTTACAGATTATCATATGCAATATCTTAGATTTTGATAGTGCTCAAGAAGATTTAGCTGAATATAGGAATGAAATTGTTTTAAATGCAGTACATTAATGCAATGCATCTGTCAGAGAGATGAGCTTTAATGCTTTAGTAGTCAATGCTGTAGACTCGATAACTTCACCAACAGATCAATCAAATTTTTTTTCATTTCTTTTTAAAGATTGATGACTTTCTTATTCTCTTGTGAATCAAGTTGAAATTGATACTTGAATTTGAACGTGATAAATATTTTTAGTAGAAGATCTATATCATAATTTCTGATCTCGCAAATTTAGACACCGTACTTTGTTACTGGATAACCAAAATGATGTTCATGATTTCATTGTTAAGCATGCCATGTTGCAGTTTGTCATTTTGTTGTATTTCAATATGTTTATGATAAACATGATAAATGGCATGGAATTTTTACTTTAATTATTGCGTACACATATTCAATGGTAACATTTAAATGTCTCAGACACATTTGTTTCACATTTAAGTTCCAGTTTACCTTTTAGCTCAATTGAAAGAGTTTTGAATATATCGAAAAGATTATCAAAAAATTTAGCAGTAAAGGAAGAGATAAATCAAGTGGGCACTGATAGCCTTGGTTAATGACTTTAGTACATAGTGTATTCAGGTATATTTTCTCAGGGTACCCTTTATTATTTTCTTCCCACTACACTTCTCCAGGTTCTCTGTGTTTTAGTCTTATAGAATATTTCTATTCCCTTAAATTACATTACCATGATTACTTTGTAAAATCATCTTCGATAGCAAAATTAAAGCAGTAATTCATCTCTGTAAGTCATTTTACTAGGATGTTCTATGGTGAGAAATTCTGAAGATGTTCACATGATTTACATATCTTCTTATTGATCTCCTTACTGACAAAAGTTTAATTTCAAATTGACTCAACAATGAAAAATCACTAGTCTTTGCTGAAATGTCTTTAAAATGGTTTATCAAAGGCCTAAAAATATTTTAAATCACATTCATTACTTGAATTAATGTCATTGAATGAAGGCTATATATAGGTGTTTAAAGATAGAAAGAAATAATGTCATTAGATATTCCTGAAGTCATTAAAGATATATATGCCGTATTAGTGTTTTATTGCTAAAGAAATAAATATGTGTGGTGTCTCATCAAGTTGTGTTTTATAGTAAATTTGCAATTAAGACAATTCCACTCCATCACTTTTAAAAGTTACAAATATTATTTTGTAAAAATATTTTCTCTCACAATTTGCATTAAAATTTCTTATTGAAATATTCATGAACACGTTTAAATGCTCACAGCAAACAATGGTCCAATCCGTGAACTGTAGCTCTCTGATGGTCTATTACGTTTTCACTACAAACACGTGGGTTAGAGAGCTACGGTGCGAGTTCAATTGACGCAAAAACCAATTTACATTTTCTTTAAAACCTGTTTTATGAAAAATAGGAAGGATAGTTACTAATTGGCATTCCCATGCTCACATTAACAAACAAATGCAGTTTTTCCGTTAGCATGCCGTATGTTTCGAAGTTGTACATTGTAAACATTGTCAAGTGAGCACACCTCAGAGTTAGTTGCTTTTTGATCACATATAGTCATATTGTCGTGAAATTGTCTTTTCACTGTCGGTAGAGCACGGGGAAATTGTAAACAAACGGACCTGTACAATAGAGTGTGGCAACTCTTATATTTAGCATTGTTCATTTGTGTGCAAATCTTAGCATGGGATTTTAGATGATAATGTACATAATGCATTAAGCGTGTAAATGCTTGGGAAATGTAACACGTCTTTCTGAGAGCGATTTAAAAAAAAAAAAACTAGCCTGTTCGAAAAACACATGAAGTATTTATGTACTGATCATGAGTAGTAACCTATAAATGCATTAAATACAACTCATTGAGCTGATTGGTCGATTTAAAAATCTTGTTGGTTCCTCGCTGAAGAACCACACAAAATGTGCCTCGACCTAGATGAAACTTATGCTTTTCCCGCGCACATGCGCAGATCCAACGTTAACATAAACGTCAATCCTTTATAAATATGCATGTGAATATTGTGTTCTTTCCTGGCCAGTACTTCGTTAATACCGAATAATATTTCGTCGAATTTGAGAATGTTTTTTTGATAGAAATATATAGAAATTTTTGTTTGGTTTCAGCTGTGCAAAAATACGGCATACATATCTTTAAATATCAATGAATCATTTCTCATCGTTTTATGTTTGTACAGGAAATTTGCATTTAACGTTGTTTAACCAGTGATTTACAAACACAAACTGGTCTACTATCAAATATTTTGCCACAATTTGCATTAAAATTTCTGTTTAATCATCATGTTTTTAAATTGAAAAAAAGGTAGCTGCAGAACTGTAGCTTTCTGATTATTAAGAAAATTCAGACAGATAAACCAGAGAGCTACAGATCCAAACATAGCAAAAACCTGTGATTTATGTTGCCACCTTTTTATGCACCCAGATTGATAGACCTGGGGTATATATTGTTTTTGAACTTTGTTGCCGCCGGGCGCATAGTGTCACAAACACATCTTGTTGGTCTCTCACTTCAGTTATTATTTCTTGTATGTTATGCAGTCTATGAGAGATTTTTGTGACGATAATTATGTTTTCTCTTTTTCCCTGTAGATCATGGGAGGAGTGTGGTGGGAATGTCCACGGACTTTGTTAAGACCAGCGACTACCACAAACTGGAGAAGGCCCTGATGTCAGGGTTTCCTAACGAGGTGGACTTTGCGATCAATGTGTGTACCCTACTGTCCAGTGAAAGTCGACACAGCCTACTGCTGAGGAAGGCCAGGAACCTGCTTCAACTTCTCATGGCTCACATAGGAATCTTCTCTGATGGTATGTCACAGGTCTTATGTAAAGAATAGGGGAAGATATAACTATGAATTAATAATGAAGATAATTCTATATCCTACAGTCATATTTCTATTTGTGTGTTTCTTGGAAGTTAAATCAGGAAACTGAAGGGTTTATTTCCATGAGAGAGAAGTATAAGCAATGTTAAACTCACTGAACATGCTGAATATAGATTAAGTGATAAAGGTTGATAAAAAGTCATTGTGGTGCATATGATTGACTGAGAGAGAATGAGAGAAGAAAGAGTAGAGAGAGAAATCCTTCAAAGAGTGTGATCTCTGCATTAAAGAGGCCTTATGAACTTTTGAAGTAAATCTTGTTATTCTCGACTTTGTAGATAATGGAACATATGAAGATGTGTACGAACAGGAATGGAAGAAACTCTCTAACAAGAATTTCATTCATGTGAGTTTTGAAGATCTTAAATGTAGATAAAATCAGCATGGATACTACTACTTGCTTTACCTGAGTGATGTAGACTTATTTTAGTTAATTTTCTTATTTTTGTTTACAGTTTTGGTTTGAGACTGTCAGTGAGGAGACTATCCGAGGCTTAGTTCACACTAACCGGGGATATGTAAAGAGTAAGTGGCTTACCAGTATAATTCTTTTCATATGACAACTACAGAACTTAGTGTAAGAGGATAGTAATATTAATGTAGAGAACAACAATAATTAAAACATTCCAAAAGTTATTTTTTTTGTCTGCAAAATATGAACATTTTGAATGGTTTGCATACTGAGTTTAACCATGTGAAAAGTAAACCTCTTAAACTTGCATTAAGAAAATAATCAGCATAAAATGATAAGTTGTTAACATCAGTACACAGAGGTTGTGGGTGATATATGATTTTTTCATTGATGGCTTTATTACCATTTCAGGAGAACTACTAGGTCAGTCTTTATTGAACCTTGGACAGGAGGCAGGGATACATGATCAGGAGGGACAGAGGGTTATGCAGGTATGAATCACTCTCTCTTATTGGGCCTTTGTAATATCTAATATTTGTGATTTAATATGCTTTTTTAAAAGGTTAAAGTGTTACGAGACTACTTTTATTTACTGTTCCAATTCCACCCAAAATAACGAAACAAGAAAAGTATTGATTAACTTTATTATTCCTGCCTGTTAACTGAAGTAAGTAAGTCAGTCAAATCCTCTTAGTTACCAGGTTAATGAGTTGATGTTATATTTTTTCAGCTGGCTGTCATAATTAGGAATCTGTCATTTGAAGAAGAAAATATGAAATTTATGTCAGAAAATGATTTAGTCTTTAGGTGAGCTTTTTCTAAAATCTATTTTACATGTGTACAAGAATGTCCATGTTAAATAAAATAAGAAAGGAATGATGGAATAGAGCTTCAACTTTTGTTTTGTTTTCAGATTTTTAATGCTGTGTATACACAGTTCTTACGGGTCTCTTCGTCAGCTGGCTTTAGATTCTTTGGGAAACATTGCAGAAAAGGTGAGTTACCACCCCTAATAGAGCGATTTGGATTAGGATAGGAATAATAAACTTTTAAACCTATCTTAACTCTAACTTTCCGAGGTGTCTTATTCCCTGGAATGAATTTAAAGCCACCAAACTAGCAAGAACTTCATAGAACAGTGTTGAAAGTTTTTAGCTCTACTGGTCAGAGACCAGAAGAGCTTATGCGATAGTAATGCGTCCGGCGTCCGTCCGTCTGTCCGTCTGTCTGTCTGTCCGTCTGTCCGTCTGTCTGTAAACAATTTTTTCAAAATGCTACTCCTCCTACAGTTTTGATCTAATTTCAATATAACTAGGCACACAAGTAGACTACACTAAGATACATTATTCTGTGTATCGGTTTTTGATTTTGATGAACGGTGTTGCCGTGGTTACTAAAAATAGAAATTTCTGTGAAATTCTTTCAAAATGCTACTCCTCCTACAGTTTTGGTCTGATTTCAGTATAAGTTGGCAAACAAGTAGAATACACTAAGATACATAATTCTGTGTATCGGTTTTTGATTTCGATGAACGGTGTTGCCGTGGTTACTAAAAATAGAAATTTCTGTGAAATTCTTTCAAAATGCTACTCCTCCTACAGTTTTGGTCTGATTTCAGTATAAGTTGGCAAACAAGTAGAATACACTCTCTTAGATACATAATTCTGTGTATCGGTTTTTGATTGTCGATGAACGGTGTTGCCGTGGTTACTAAAAATAGAAATTTCTGTGAAATTCTTTCAAAATGCTACTCCTCCTACAGTTTTGGTCTGATTTCAGTATAAGTTGGCAAACAAGTAGAATACACTAAGATACATAATTCTGTGCATCGGTTTTTGATTTCGATGAGCAGTGTTGCCATGGTTACTAAAAATAGAAATGTCTGTAAAATTGTTTCAAAATGTTACTCCTCCTACAGTTTTGGTCTGATTTCAGTATAACTTGGCACACAAGTAGACTACACTAAGAACATTAAGAGACTTTATCAACGATCATTATTCTATTTAATGCTGTTTAAAAAGTTTCAAATCCCAGCTGCTTAAGTACTTTTCTCTTCCTTTGCTATAAGTTCAAACCAGTAGAGCTTCAGTCTCGACAGAGACTTCTGGTTAAATTAGCATTAAATGAATGTTATTCATTAACACATTTTCTGGTTATTTATGACATGGTTTAATCTACTGTTGTACATAAAGATTTTGAAAGTAAATCATGAAAAACGCTATAAAAAGAATTCTACAGAGATTTTTTAAAGGGTGATTGGAACCTTACCCTTTTGCTTGGTTATGATGTAAAGAAGTTCAGAAAAAGAATTAAATACCTTGACCTCCGTTTCAGTTTGTGCTTACAACAGATGATCACTCACATTTGGTGCTGCAGATTCTGAAGCAGTGTTTGTCTTCAGATGACAAGTATGAAGTTGTGAGAGGTATGTAGTCTGTTATCATCTTATCTGTCTTTAATCTTCAAACTTTGCTGAAGGAGAATTTATTGCAATTAGAATCAGGTTTTCCATTTCATGATAATTAAGTTAAAATTATGTTATACAGCAGTTGGCATTTTATGAATCCTGTAGTATATGTACCATACATGCAAAATCGCATAAATTTTTTATACAGATATAGCATCTGTTACTAAATAAAGCCCTTATCTTACAGTTGATAAATGTCTCGACAAAAATGAGCAATTATATTGCCTGTCTTACTGCTAGATTTCTGTAAAAAAAAAACTCAGAGTGTTTGATGTTGTTACTGGGGAATGTTGAAGTGCTTTGGAAGTCCCAACCACATTTTGTTTTGTTTTTTTCTCACCTTTTTTATCTCAAATCGTCAAATATCTCGAAGTCAATTTGTTGTTTGAGATGTGGAGGTTTGTGCCTTATTACATGATAAGATATTTTATGTGAAAAATTTATTTTCCCAGGTCTGGAGATTTTAAGCAAGCTTTGTCTACTTGATGAGAATGAAGACCAGCTGACAGAGAGTTTAGAGGACGCTTTATACGCTGACATTGTCCGACTGATGAATGTGTTTGATATTCAGATTATCGTGTACAGTCTGGAGGCACTATATCAGCTGTCAGAACTGGGAGAACACACCACAACAAAGATTGCAGCTGTCAAACATGCTGTGGGTAGGTAGACATAGGAATTATTACTTTGATAAATGAAGAGCATTTAACATATAGTAAATTTTCATTGGTGAAGTTTAAAATTTGTGTCATTACAAGGAAAGATGAAATGGAAAAGTAAATAGAGTTTGACAAGGATTCAATTTTTATAGGAATGTCCAATTGTCAGGGACACTTTTTATGCACAGAATTTTTTTCTGTAATCCTTAACTTGAAAGTCAATTGTAACAAATCTACATGTATATTTCAGATCTGCTGGTCTCACTCTTAACAATAGAAGCTCAGTCTTATGGAGCTAACTCTCTGGTGGGCATTAAGGTTGTGGAATACTGTCCCCCTTTACACATGATGCCGGGGGTCAGTGTGGACCACGGTCAGGCTTCTGTAGTGCCAGGGACCCCTGGTCACCCTGTGTCTCAGCCCCTCCCTCCCTCTCACAGTGAGTACAATTCAGAAGTAAAGGTGCCTTCCAAGTACAAAAAAAAGTAAAGTTAGGGAAGATGGAAATCTTAAATAAAAATATTTTTAGATAAAGGTAAGTACTAAGATTGAAAAATGTTACTAACTTAAGATTTATAAACAGTGTTTTGAAGACACAGCAAAAATGAATTGATTAAAGAAAAGAAAAATATATATATATGAATTATAGCATTATAGCATTAGGAACAATTTCAGAAATTTGATGTTTGATCTTAGTGTTCTTTTAATTTAGAAACTGCACAGCAACAGATGAGCACCACAGGTTGTGATGTAGAGACTACTACTTATCAGTGGTATGTAGAAATAGTGTAAATGAAAGTAAACTTGAAACACACTACAAAGTGAAGTAGAATTTCCTTTATTATAAATTGCATGTACTTATATACCAGAACTCTGATGAAAATTTGTTTTAAAGGTTTTAATCTCTGTGTGAATTTGTAGGTTACAGTCAACCTTTGAGCTCAAGGATGGGTCCTCCTTGCCTCATGTCCATATGTATGCAGAGTACCTCAATTTTGCCAAGAAGTTTTCACTGCCTCAAATCTTGTCTTCTAATGCCTTTGCCAGTTGTGTCAAGTAAGATCTTTAAGCTGAGTGTGTGCAGTTTTATTTTTCAAACCTGATAAAGATTAAGGATAAGTGTGTGATTTTCAACTTTTGACAATCTGAATTATGCACCTCTTGAATTTAAAGGACTTTGTAATTGTTGTTACAGTATTTTAGCAAGAGAGGAAGAAAAATGTTTTTGAAACATAAGATTACATCGATGTTAAACAGAAGTAACTCTTATTACAGTACTGAATATAAAACAGATTTGAGCTTTATTTCTAGCAAATAAATAAAAATCTGGAGTGCATTTTACAAAAGAACCTATGACTAAGACCAAAATTTAATGCTGTTTATAAGTTTCTAATTTACATTATATTGAATTGGTTTTCATCTTTTTGAAAGGAATGTAGTAAAATAATTTTACGCTGGCAATTTTAAATAGAATCATTAATTTTACAAAATTTTATAAACAACTGAAGATTTTGGTCTTCGTCATAAGTTCTTTTGTAAAACGGGCCCCTGTTCTCTTGCAGAATGTAAAGTTATGTGAAATGAGTGATGTACATAATATTGCTCTATAAAATCTTCATATTAGAGATGGACAAAATCACTGTGTTAAAATAAACTGTCTTCTAAAGCATAGAATGTTCCTCATTTCAGGGTTGTGTTTCCTAACCTGGAACAGTACAGCACAGAGAAAGCTGAGGGTGTGTCAGAGGCAGGGTTTAAAGGCATCTGTAAGCGGAAAACACCTCTACCATTCGCCATACCATCCACAGGTCAGATTACAGTTATGAAAAGCTTTTTTTTTAATAGAAAATATGTCGTATCTAATAATCTAATTAAAATATAGAAATAGTATCACGTGTAAATCTGGTGGAAATGCAAATGAAAAAGTCTAATTATAATATTTTTTGACTAAAGGAGTCAATTTATCCATAGGAAATTCAAATAAAGAATTCTTTTTTCATCAAAAAGAGGAGTAAATCTGAAATCCCCTGAAAGGCCATGACAATTTGTGTTGTATTATATATTTTTGTTTATGCATGATCTGTTGTATTGAATTAAATTCTCCTGTCAACAAAGCTTGTATATTTGGTCTCCTCCAGAAAAATTGAGCTGAGGAATATTTGATAACATGATGCCAACTTCAGAAATGAAAAGACCAAAGCAGTTTCAAACATATGAAATTTAATTTTAATTCACTTTTGAATTTTATTTATTTATGTCTAAGTTAAAGAAATGAAATTTTGATCACTGTTAGTATATACCTGTAATGTTTCAAACACCACCCCATAAGATTTGAAATCTTCAAAAGTTTAATGCAAGGTATTTTTCACATATTAATTGCATAAACAAGGGAGACTAGTTAACAGGAGGCTGTAATTAAAGTGTAAATTAGATTTTGATATTGCATGATTGTTTAGGAATTGGGAATACAAATTACTAACAAATTGCACAGATATTTATTTTGATATGTAACATTTGCATTCTGTATGAAGTATATTTCCACATCCAGAAAACTTCTCCATTCAAATTCTGTTATGTAGAAAACATTTTGAAATTTATTTTGCATTCTATTAAAACATTTCAATTAGAATTCCTGCTGATTAACACATTATATGCAGCATCACGTATACCTCACAGTGTTGTCAAAATAAATAAATAAATGAACTGTTGATATTATTTTGAAAGAAGATATATAGCTTTTGAATTTGGGGATCAAAATCTTTAGAAAAAACCCCAAGATAAAACACTGTGTGGTGAAATTGATGTTGTAATATGGAGCTTGATTGTTGTATGTAGCTTTAGTTTTGGTTTTTGTTCTGCTTTCAGTCAGTAAAACTCGTCTTAGTAGTGTCCCCCACTGTCCATCTCCTGTTGTCATGGCCAATCAGTATCCATCACAAACTCCAACACTTCGCCAGAGGTTAATGGAACCACCAAGGTTATCTTCGTTACAAGCCTCTCCTCTCCTTCCTCTAGGTGGTGCTGTCCCCACAACAAATCAGCAACAAAGTGCAATATACACGGCCACCAAACCACTGACTCAAACCAGTAGTTCTAATAGCAAGTCAGCACAAAACCAACCAAGTATTATGTCTGTTGGAAAATCCCCTCAACCAAAAACACAGCAGGCTCTCAAACAGCATTTGAATCAGGCCTCCCCCACTCAGATGCCTGTACTTCCCCAGCAGACCGGCCCACCGAATCCCACAAACCTACAGGGGGCAGACACATCTTCCAATGAAACAAGAATGATCAAGAACCTGTTGGCTAAAAAATTAAAAGTTCAACAGTCATCTCCAGTTCCTATTGCTCCAAAGCAGACGCCACAGCCAATTCAGGCTGTGGTGGATCCCAATAACCCAATGCACTTATTGACATTCACTACACAACAGAGTACTCACATTCAAGGTCAGTTACAGCAGGCGTTTGTACCTGTTGTCCAGGATACATCAGGGTACACTGTGACTGGGAACTACTTTGACCAAAGTAACCTTGGACAGACTTTCCAAATACAGGGTGTGCAGCCGTTCATGGATGGTACACAACAGATAGTAATTCCACAAGCAACAGTATCTAGTCAACCTTCCCTCCAAACAGGATCTCCAATATCAGATAAAAGTAAAGGTGCAACCAAAAACAATGCTAGTCGTAACAGTTCTAGAACATCTCGATCGTCTTCACCCAAAGGAACATCTCCAAAAAGCAAGCCTTCATCATCATCTAGGTCTAGCTCACCTCGAAACTATGATTTAGATGTATGTGGAGAGGTTGAAAGAGCCAAAGATGTTGTGAAAGTGGGACTTGAAGCCCGTATAGAACGTATAGAAAATAATTCTTTGAAACAAATCCAGTCTGTAAACAGTACTACGCCGTCCACCTCTCATCTTGTCACCTCATCCATCCCATCTCCCAACACTGTGATGCCAGCTTACCCAGTAGTTGGCAGTACCAACACTGGTGTCACTGGGAACGTTGCTGCATCCTTCACTTTACCTAGCCAAACCATTGCTGACAACACAACACTGACTCACCAGAGTCAGCTAAACTGTGCTACCTCATCATCTGCTAACCCCACAAACCAATTCAGCAGTGAATCCATACCAAATCATAGTGATTCATCATTCAATCCTTGCTCAATCACCAGCTCCATCCCTCAGCAATCCATTGCATCATCAAACACCCCAAGGTTTAGTCCAGAGGACAACAGAAACACAAACTCCTGTGAAAGTGCTTTAGTAGTGAAAGAAAAACCAAAAATGAACTATATTTGTACTCAAGATGAAACCGATGCTGCTGTGTCCTCTCTACTGATTACAGAGGAAGACACGCAACAGTCATTGTCTAATGGATCAGACACTGATGTTCCCCTCACAACTGCTATTGTTAGCTCTGCTGATGAAACGGCAGCTGCCATCTCCGCAATAGAAGGAATGTTAGAGGAAGAACCTGAGTGTGAGGAAGACGACATTCCGATGGAAGAAGATGTGATGGAACCCATGGAGGAGGAGGCATCGGCTGAAGAAATGCCAGTTCTTACAGAGGAGAAGGAATCATCAGAAACCATTCTACCTGAAAATGTTATGGGTTTGGACTCAAAAACGGAAAACATTACCATGAATGGAGTTCTTAATTCTCCTGGGGAAAATGTCATTCCTTCTCCAACAGAAGAGCAGAACCACATGAGTAATGGAATCAGTGAGAGTGAATCTGAGGAAGGCTATATCAAGTCCTCCAAACATATGGATAAGTTAGCTTTGGATAAACTTACCAAGATCAATGGTATAGACAAACATTTAGGAAATGGAGGGATGAACCATATTGGTATTGATTCACCAATGAAGGAGGACAGAATGGAGTTGAATGAAGACTCGACCAATGGGGAAGTGATTCAAGGGGAAATTGATCAAGCAATCAGTGGAATTCTGGAAAATGGAACAGACATTTTGGAGAATGGAGAACCAAAGGAAACAAAGTGTTACGAGTTAGCTGGAGAATCAGAAACTGAGGACACTCTGACACCAATGGAAGAAGAGGAGGAGGTTCTGATAGAGAATGAAATGTGTCTCCAGCCAACAACAGCAGTGGCTGATCAAGCCCCACCAGTGGTTGTAGGTTCAGATAATACAGAAGAGGAGGGTAACACAGAACCAGTGATTGAAGGAAACAATGGTTCAGAAGTGAAAGTGAATGGTACAGAGGAAACAACAGTTAAGCAGCAAGAGGAAAATAGTGATGAGTGTAAACTACCAGTAGAGGGTTGTGTGGACATTTTGAAAGCTGCAATAGAGTCTGAGAAAATAGATGAATGTGTCTTAAATGGTGACAGTAATGACTCACTTCCACCAGGATCTATATACCCTGGTGAAATTCAAATCAGTGCTCCAAGTATTCCGATTGGTAACGAAATGACTGCAACAGCAGTGGGTTCCAATAGTATCAATCTCATCCAGAATGTCTTCACCAATGTCCAAACAGTACAGACTGGTCTGGTGGTGGGGACCATTGTTAGTGTCAATAACAATCTTCTGACCACCGCCACTGTGCCCCTGACCCTCACTGACAACATGGTTGGTAAGAAGATGGGTATGGAGATGTGTCCAGAGCGCCACGTTCCCACGCCGGAGGCATCGCGAGATGGAGAACTCAGTTGTGACAGTATTGCATCCACACTGACAGACTCTTCAGATAAACATTCCATCACATTTCAACCACCCATTCTCAGTGTCCAGAACTTTCCAACAAATGTTCTTGGTGTGCAGACAATGCCAGTCAAATCTCAGCAATACATCACCACCGTCATCACCACTCCTAAACAATCCTCACCCAGGACTCGAGATAAACGAGGCAAGAAACGTAGTCGAAACGCTTCCTCAGGAAGTGCTGATTCCAGGTGCTCAAATTCCTCATCAACGATCACTCAACCAATGGCACCACCTGCCCCAACAGCAGATTACATTTGTGAATGGCAAGGCTGCAAACAGTAAGTCATTCAAATTTTCATGTATTGATTGAGAATTTTGACCGAATTAGTGTTGGCATTTCTAAAAGGTAGTTCTTTAATTGTTTAAATTTGAAGGCAACAAGTTGCATATATCAAGGAAAGGCTTGAGATGAACAAAAGTTTAAAGTTTGAGTGTTTATATTTTACAGGTGCTTTGAAAATTTCAAGCATGTGTTTAAGCATGTGCTGGACACTCACCTGAAGATGGACAGGGAAGGATTCTGTCGATGGGAGGGGTGTGAAAGACTACAGAGGAAGAAGTGGTCTCTAGTTACTCATGTACAGGTGGGTATTATTAAAATATCCTTGTGCAAGTATTTTATATTCAATATACTGATTAGAAGTCATCAAACCCAAGCTCCAACTCAATGTTTTGATACAATGTGTAAAAAGATATCTAAGAAATGTGTGGATATTTTATTGTCAAAAGTTGAATAATTGTCCATTTTTTCCTCTTTCATTAAAAGAAAATAAGTTTGTTACATCAAAGAGACAAGAATTGATATTTATTACCTACTTTCCATCTACATTTTGTGTTAATTCCGATTTTTCATCCTATATATCCTAAATTTACAATTATGTACATTTCTAGAAATTTTTCAAAGTTTGGCTTTTTAATATGGGAGTAAAAAATATGCTTATATTGAACATAGTTCTCTCAAAACATTTTTTTTTGGAATTTCACGAACTTGAATATAATAGAATTTTAAATGATAATATTTTAAAAGAGTAAAAATCTTAATAAAATGCAGAGAAAATTAATTTCATTAAATATCTTATGTTTTAAAGGACCATCACTGCTCTGAGAATGCTCTGAAAGCATCTACAATGAGGCGGAAACAGAGTCAACAGAGCGGAACAGCCATAGCTCCTCAAACAGTTCCAGCCTTAGTCTACCCCACTGATGCAGCTTGGCAGGCCATCCGAAGATTTTCTCCCAAACCACCATATCCAGAATTTACAGTCAGTATTGTTTTCTCTTGAAGAAAAAATTCTTTTGCTTGATCATTTATCAAATTTCTTTTGACATAGCATGAAAAATAGCAAAACAATTTGATTGACATTTTAACACTGCCTGAGTGACTACTTGCATCAATAACTTATAATGTATAAAGAAGATTCTGCAATGCAAGTACTTCAGAATCACCTATTGGTCATTACATTGAACATTTTTCTTGTAGATTAAAGATATAACATTTATTTAGTAGTGGTGTTTTTAAAGAAATTATTTTTTTTTTCCAGGAAGCGCGAGAAGGACCAGTAACTAAGCATATCCGTCTGACTGCAGCTCTTATCCTCAGGAACCTAGCTAGATATTCTGCACCTGGAAGAAGGTAATATTAACCTCAAATATAACTTTTAAAGTAAATAACATTACTTAACTCATCATGAACAAGAGAGAAGAAAATGTTAATATTCTGAACAACCATACTGACAACACAATCTTCACAACAAATTTTAATCATGATTTTGATGGTTTGCTTATTTTATTTAATGGTTTTACTTGCTAAATACTAAGGCTATCTAAATTTAATTCCTTGGTTCTCAGGCCAATTTTCTCCAAAACAGATGCGGGAGGGCGGCATTTTATTTTTCATTTTATTGGCAATAAAGTAGATGAGGGAGGTTTTTTTTTTAATTTTATTTCCGAATTTTCTTAACATAAAGATAATTTTTTTAATCACAGATATACTTTCCATTTCTGGTCAAATTCTGCCTTATCCATTGCTTAACAGCGTGTAAACATCGTAGGTAATGTCCTCAAATGTATTTTCAAACGAAGTAGCCAAAATCTCATTGTAAATGGCTACCGGAAGTGATATTTGAATACTAAACTACAAAACAAATGCACCTACCCACTTTTTATTTTTTAAAAAATACAATAAAATTGGCAATGCGGCTACCTCAAAACGGATGCACGCGGGCCTGAGAACCAAGACTTCAATTTTATATATCCTAAAGGGTGTTAACAAAGTTCATTCCAAATTTTCTTTTATTTTCGAAAAGAAATACGATCAGAATTTACAATTTTTATGGCGTTGGGCTTGCCCGATCGGCATCTAGGGATCAGTCAGGTTTACGCGACCGCACGTGTCAGTGGATGCATCCGCAATAGAAAATAGCAACAGCTGTAAACCAATTTCTTTTAAAACGTTCACTATGAATAATAGCTTGAATATAAAATCAAATCAATTGTATTTTCAATTAATACTACTACAAAACAACGATATTATGTTTAATTTTTACGCAAGAAAAACGTTTTGGTTGTTGCGGAGAATTTCTACTGAAAATGACATGAATCACATTTAGGGACCGATTACTATAACACAAATAATCTTAAATACGGTAAAATAATTACAAAATAAACACGAATACAACACAACTATAAAGATTGAATTTCTTAATCTTAACTTTTAATTTTCAATCCAATTTTAGCCGAACAACTTTTGTAATGCCAGTATTACTGTATTTATCCATTTCCTCCATTTGTTTACCGCGCCCTATCGTAAGTCGATCGTACTTGTAACATTAGAGTCATGGTTGTAGTTAAGATGCAATCACTATACAACAGAACAACACTCTGAAAATGGCAATTAATTAAAATAATTTATGAAACCCTTCGTATGTCTTCGATTGACTGAAAAGAAATTAATTTATAGAGGATGGACATTTTACGATTCTGGTCAAAACCCTGAAACTAGGACACAACGTTATCAGGCCCTATACTGTATTTGTGTTAAGACTATTTTTTTTTAAATTTTATTATTATGTTACCGGAGTCAACTTTTTGCAGATCTTTTAAAATTGTTTTTCTTGTTCGACGCCATTGAAGCCTTTCAGGCTTTTGATTGATATTTCATGTTTACAGAGTCCATTCTTGCTACTGATAAGGTTTTAACTGTTTTTTGTTGAATCAATAAGGGGAAGGCAGGTATTAAACAGTTTATGTCTGTGCAGAAAAATTAGGGATGACGCATATTTGTGACATATATTAAGCACACAGGTCAAAACATCCTTTCAAATACTATGTAAAAATTATAAAGTCGGGTGAAAAATTTCAAAATGACAAACTATTCTTTTGAAAAGTGATCTATCGTTCTTATACCTATACGCTCATCAGCTTGTCTGACGCAAGTTAAGCTATGAAGGAACAAAAGTAAATATTCCTTTATTTTCACTCAAAATGACCAGCATTTCTATCATTCGGGTGCTTTAAAGATGTTATATATATTTTCATATGGAAGAAAAATCCTATAATTTCCTGCTAGAAATGAATTGCCATAAATCTAAAGCACAGTTTTGTGATTTTGTCATACTTGAAAATTCATCTCTTTAGCTAAGCACTACTTTGAAATTTTTGAAAATATTTCATCATGGAACAAACTTTCTTAACACCCCTTATGTCCTGAAAGCGTTGTTTTTAATATTACTTCTGTTTGTTTCTAGTTTAATCAAGAAATATGAGCGTAGGATCAGCTTCTCTGCTATGAGTGCCCTGGAGTCATCTAACGCCCTGGCTAACTGTCTGTTTGAGATTCTACACGACCATTGACCACAGACTGGGCTAGAGAGAGAGAGACTGTGATCTTCATGTTTATTTTGTAGTTACCTCCCTTTGTTTGTAAGCATTGTAAAATGGCATTAGTTGGCAGCTTTGTATTATGTTCTAAAATAGAATCTGTATTTATTTAATCTCGAATTCTGTCTTCAAAAGACAATGGGAGGGAGTTTAAGGAAGGCTTTCTCCATCTGATTCGTTTCTACTTATAAATAATGCTTTTGTTCATTTTATTGTCCTTGAAAGTGCAATGGATCATGTTTAACAGAAAAGGAAAGTGTGTTGTACCATACTAAATGTAGTTACTTCATGTAAAATACTGTTTGAGAACTGTTTTGTTGAGAAAATTGTCAAATTTTGTATTTTTGAAATATACAGGAAAAAAACAAACAAACAAATGAAAGATAACAAATGGATAGGGAGTGTGCATAATAAATTGAGGGTCAAAAATTGTTGGGGGAAGAAATTAGAAGATGATTTTAACATGTAAAGCTTTAGTGCTAAGGAGTTAATATTACTTGCTCTGTAAGTGCTTGCTTTGATAGGTTTTTGATGGACTAAAACATATCACTACAAAGACTTTTTTTCATATATCCATTGTGTTCATCTCATGCTTATAAATTATCTGCTCTCATTGTCAAACACTTTTATTGTTTCTTCCCCTTTGTTGCTCCAGTGTAAATTTTTTTGTCATAAATGATAAAGTTTTACCAATCTGTGTTCACATTATATACTTGTGTGTGTGTTTTTTTAAATATGTGAAAAATGTGTATAAAATCCAGATATCTATTTATTTGTTGACATTGTATTGGGATGGTCAGAAAGATGCTGTACAGACGTCATTCCATCGGTCTAGTTGTAGTTTGAATGTGTAAAATTGGATTGTAAGTATTACTGAAACATTATTTATAGATATTACAAGAAATTATTTTGCATTTCAGATTTTCTCATGCATTTGTTGTAGTAAAAAGTCTTTTATTGAACAGATTTCCTGTTTGAAAGAAGAAAAATTTAAAATAAATACATAAAAATAACTTCTGAATTGGTTTTGATTCATCATGTTCATTAGTAACTTATACCAAGAAAAGATTTACTTGGCTCTCATTCAGAACTTTTACATCATGTCTGAAACTTTTAATGGCATTGGAGTCCATAAAAATATTTTTGAGTCAAAGTCTAAATTGGAGTAGCCAGGGATTGCAGGGACGAAGTATTACGTTATTATTGTCGCTACTGAGTGCTGAATAGCATACGTCCGTCTACACCGGTGTCGACTGATTACACTGAACAGTGACTATGTCCTGTCCTTTATATAAGATTAGGTATAGCTAAATGTTGGTGGAAGTATTGAAAAAAATGGCGGACACATTCCTTTTACGAATCCTGTTCAGCTTTAAGAAACCTCTCTACACTGCACACTAAAGAGTTCTGATTCTAAGGTATTTTTCTGCAGTTAGAGTGATCTGCCCTTAGATTTAAATTCTATAAAATAGAAATTTACACAATATTACTCAATTTGTAATCAATTCAAGTATTCTCAACATTTTAAAAGGTCAGAATAAATTAACTGAACGTGTTATTTACAACCATTTTCTCTATTTAAGTAATTAACAGCGATATCTATTCACCGATACTGTGTTGTCTTTGAACATTTTTCCCGGGGGTAAATGCCACGCACCATACATTGAAAATTACATAGATTAGCACAATATTAACTCCTTTATGCAATACATTTTTATAAATGTCCAAAAAATATTTTTCACTGGTGAAGAGAGGGTCCTTAAGCAGAAAATTGATACGTACTGCATGTGTGACAAAATATCATAGAAGTAGTCGCCCGCGTGGCGCAATGGTAAGAGAGTCTGCTTTAGAGTCGCGAAGTAAGAAGTTGATCCTTACGTCGCAGGTTCGAATCTCACTGGGGGACATAGACTCGGATGAGACCGTATAAACCGAGGCCACGTGTCGCAGGAGGTGGCTGGCACGAAAAAAGATCCTTCCCTGCTCAATGGCCCTAAGTGCCGAGTGTAGGACAAAGTTTGATGCTCGCCTCTGCATGGAAAGTGGTGTTTTTTTCCCCATTCATATGTTGACTCAGTAGACTTGAAATAAAAGACACCGCAGCACACAGTCCGTTACATCTACTTCATATTTAGATGTTTTATTGAATACAGACGATAATGACAACTAATTGTATGACAAACAAGATGACTTCAGCTTTTTCATCTTCAACTTTCCATATTCATGTAGTACTAGTCCGCTATCACTTGCATATGACTTTTACATCTCCCAACTTATTCTCTACTCAAGTGCATGCTCTACGATCAATTTTTAAACCAAAATGAAGCTACTCAAACATAAATTGACGTTACAACTGATTCATATATAATGCTCTCAGCGGATGTGACAGGTCAACAGGGATTGCTTACTCTTCCTAGGCCCCGAGTCCATCTCTGGCACTTCCGGGACTCCGTGTTTATGGCCTGTTCACAAAATTGTACTGTTTCTAGTTTTTATGAGATTGATCTCTTTTCAATATATTCACCATATACTATTATCACATTCATCTAGAATTGATATCTCCAATTTAAATTCTACCCCATTCATACGACATGATTTGCATACCTCAGTATATTTTACACATGAGTAAATTTATACATGTGCAATTTTTGTCGTATGAACTTATATACTCATATGCAAATTCTGCACAGTTGACTAAATTTACACCTGGTCAGGACTAGGTGCAAATTAACTTTTGCATACATTTTGTAGCAAATTAATAGTTCATGCGTGTAAATTGTGTCATATGAACACGCAGCAAATTTACTTATGTATGTATTCTGTTTTGTTTATTTTATAAATTTCCATTTTAAGTGTTGTTTCGATTGTGTATGCATTGGCGTGCAAAATATCAGTCTTTAAACATGGTGGCTAGATTGATTGTATATTGTTTAACGTCCCTCTCGAGAATTTTTCACTCATCACTTGCCGGTGGAAAGCTGCAAATTTTGTCCTATGCTCGGCACTCAGGGCGATTGAGCAGAGAGAGATCTTTTTCATGTCAGCACCTACTGCGACACGGGACCTTGGTTTATATACGGTCTCATCCGAAGGACCGGTCCCCCCTTCCAACAATGGGATTCGAACCCGCGACGTAAGGATCAACTCCTTACTTCGCGACACTATAGCAGACGCTTTAACCACTGCGCCACGCGGGCGACTTGGTGGCTAGAAAGCAAAAGTATTAAACAAGGAGCCATTATCCCCTCTCCGACATAAATTTGCAAATTTGCAAAAACGAGGGCATCTTGCACCCTTTCTGGCAAACCTATATTTATGTCTCTAAAGACATAGCTGTCGTCGCAAACAAGTGCCCTGTAGGATCAATAAGTAGTGTCCTTACTATTCAAGTTCTCTTCCTGGAAATGTTCCGAAGCAATGATAGGAACATGCATTCCATCAATCGCTCGTGCCCCATTACCGTGTAGGTCTTGATGACTTTCTTCTACCTCTCTCTGTATTCAATTCAGACAAGCTACTCATATAAAAGTTAATGTTACAGGAATTTCAACTAGTGAAAATAAGCATTCGTAAGTAACCTACTTGGCACCTGATCTCATCATGAATGTCCACCGAGGGGTTCATGTTGATTTCCTTTTAGCATATTTGTATTGTTCAAAGATTTTTGAGTTTGATCACTGTTAGAATTTTTTAGATCCTTTTCATTATACAATATACTGAAAAAATAATTATTATATAATACTAGTATTCAAGCAGATGTTTTAAATGACATCGCACACTTGATGTACTGTAGATTTCCCAACATCAAACAAATTTTTAAATGGTCCTATTTCTGCCGAAAACGTCAACTAGTAGATGGCAAGTCCCGTTTTCTTTACACCCAATAGCTCTTCTTTGGGACGGAAGCCAAAACATTTTCCAACAATGAGCTGTGTTTTTGAGAAAATATTTTGCTATTAAAATGTGTTATTATGATTAATTTGTATATAATTTAAACCCTTATTATAAAACTAAAATAAAAGTTTTAAAATATTTCAGAAATGTTTCTGTACAGTCGAATATATAGCATTATATGAGAAATCAATAATGCACAGGACGACAATAATGTCATTTTGTTTCAATTAAAGCTTATAAAAAGATCTTCCATCAGTGGAATGGACCTTTCCCTAGTTTTTTTTAATGGACGATTTAAACGTAAGTCTTATACACAGACAATAAGGAAATACCTATTTTCTCTAAAAAATCACAACTGAGAATCTGTCCATGATTTAGTTTATATGAAAATATGAGGATTTACTTACAGCACATAAATCTCGTCTGAACGCATTGCAAATTAACTTTTACATACGTGTGTAGATTTACTTATATGTAAATTTGCACACATAAGTAAATTTTCGTCGTATGAATGGGGTATTCGATACGCAAGAATACACTATACGTACGAACAATATTTGAAATGAGGCAGCCTATTGACAAATACGTTGAAGAAACAAAAATAGTGACAGTCTCGCTTCAACGAACTTTTAAGCTTAATTGCGGTTCGTTATCTTTTGATTTCTTTCATCACATGTTGAGAAACTAACGGCAATGTGAAATGATATCCAGAGAACTTAGAAGTTCTTATGGAAAGATTGTTTCTACAATGCAAAATTCTTTGCAGATTGATATCAAATTCTTTAAAGGTAAATTATAAAAAGTTCTACAGAAGATAAGATCCCCAATCTATAGTGATTGATAAATACATCTAGCATGGTGTTGGAGTATTGTACCTATACGGCTATACGGTCAAGCACGGTAACATATGCCATTATATTTGTAATTAAATGGAACCGCTATCCTCCTAAGAGTAATTTGATGAGCAATATGTCTCATTTACAAAACACAATGCTACTGCAGAGTTCAGAACATTGAAATCAAACTGATCCTCATTTATGGCGTCGTGCTACGTGTTGTGCAAATAGTTCTAGTTACTGCCGAGCTTTTAATGTCATTAGTAGCGTAACAGTATTTGTTTTCGATATTACTAATCGATCAATATAAGGAAGATACCGGATTTGATTTTCTGGTGAATTCCTGATAAAAAATCTTTCTGAATATCTCATAAAGATATTCATGTTCGGCCGATTTTACACCATCAGTTGTAGTTTCAATATGCCTCGCATTCAAGTCGTATCGTCGATGCCACCGGGAAACGAAAGAAAGAGTTCTCCAACCATAAAAGATATTTTACAGTATCCTATATTGATGCTGAAAATCGGCGGATATTACTTTGACTTTCATGAAGATCGACGGAGGATGGCTGGAAAAATTATTTTGAACGTGATTTACATGTTAGTCTTGGTTTCTGTTGTCATAAGAATTGTAGCTGGTTTTGTAATATTTGGTGGTTTTTCTGACAAACTTATTGGCCGAATAGTGTTTGCAGTTGCCTATATTAGTACCACTTTAATGTTTTCCGCCTTTATGATATCATTTTCAAGAAATTTACCCCATATTCTTTCCAAATTTTCAAAATACCAATCACAACACGGCTTTGCAGCAGACGTTAGAAAAATGAAAACGATGGTCACCGGAACGTTTATAGTGATGGTTGTTTCTGTTATACTTACTGGAGTTTGTGTAACTGTCATAACGAATTCTCGTATTATAGACGAATTTGGACTTTTTATCACCCGTATGCTTCCTTTTCGCTACAAGGACGGATATAAGTTCGATTTGGCTTGCGTGATAGAATCACTAGCCACCATACATTGGTCTCTTCACATGGACTCGATCACACTTCTTGTATTTGTTCTTGCACATTTGATTATCAAGGAGTTCGAGGAAGTGTCAAAAGAACTTGATATATTGAGAAAGGAATTGGACGTTTCTGCACAAGAAATTCAAATTCTTAGGCTTCAACACTTCGAGATAACGGAGTTACTTCAAGTAGCAAACAGCGTCATAGAGCCTTACGTTCTTCTGAATTATATGATCACAATTCCAAGCATCTGCTTTTGTGTCTATGGGATTG